CCCCATAGTTTTACTAGCACAACCGTATCAGTGTCTTTTTGTAAGCTGGGTCCTAAAGCTGAAGTTTGATAAGCCTTTCCTTTAGTGAGAGGTCCTAGGTTGGGCTAAGCAGGGTGTGTCAGACCTCAGCTGTGGGTGGGCCTGAAGGAAAGCCATGGATATAGGTACGTGGAGAAATCCTTGCATGTGGTGTTCTGTGCCTCTGAGCATCTATTCACAGTGGCTGGGGAAGGGCCCTGGTGCCTGCTTGGAGCAGCTTCTGCTGAGGCATGGGAAGTGAGGCTCTCCTGTGGACAAATCCCTGCTTTCTGTCCGCATGGCAGCCAGTGTGCAAATGTGCTCTGGCTGTTAGTCCAGTAATAGCTCACACTTTGATGTCAATCCACACTGGGGGCTAAACCCACGCTTGAGGTTGGGAGCTAAAGCAGAGTGATTCAGATAGTCTTGGGAATATGAACTTTTGCCTCAGGTGGTCACACAAAAGGTTGTAAGCTTGCTTAAAATGACACACAGTACTTATCTACAGGCTTTCAACCTCCTTGGTAACGCATTCTTTTATTCAAGTGACTCCTCGTTAGTTCAGTCCAAGGGGAGGTAGACAAGCTAGAGCCAAAGATGAGCTAATGGGACATCCTAGCCTTGAAATATCTCGAGTCTTTCCTCTCAGAACCAGTGAATGAAAATGAATCTCTTTCTTAAAACCAGGTCTTTTTTGAAAATTCAGATTTAGCATAAATGAGGGTCAAACATCACAACGAATCCTTTTAGAAAAGGAGATGATATACTTTAATAGCTGTATAATTACTTGCCTTGTCTGAAGGGATGTAAAGGTTCATCTAAAACAAAGAATTAAGAAGTTTCTGTTGTTCTGCCTCTGGATTAAATTAGCTGTGAGTGCCATACTAAATGGTATAGGTGGTTTAGTTGAGAGATCTGTGAAATCCAGAGACGAGAAACATGGAAGGTCAACCAGAGCAATGAAATAATTTTTGCATAAAGTATAGCTGTAAACAGGCATTTCTGTTTTGTGGTGGTTGGGGGTTTTTTATTCGTTTTGGGGTGTGGGCTTTTTTTTTTGCCTTTTCTTTTTTGATCGGGGTGGGGTGGGGGTAAGCATAACTAAGAGACCTGTCTGCAGGGAAATCATGGCTATTTATTTCTAAGGTACTGGAAAAACAGGTCAACTGATAGTCTTCCAAATACATCTTAGAATTTTTGGGAAATGGTCAACATATTTCCCACTCCAGGGAAAACCCAGTTTCAAGTAAGTACTGGTCATTTTTCCCATGAGAGAGGAAGAAGTATATTCTTTGGAAGCCTTTGCTTATTAATATTTTAGCATTAGACTTTGGGGGATAGTGTATGGGAACAGACTGGTGGGAGAAGGCAGGCAGGCAACCTGGTCTGGTGGAAGTTGTCTGGGCCTGTGGAAGGTGTCCCTGCCATGGCAGGGTGGTTGGAGCTAGGTGATCTTGAAGGTCCCTTCCAACCCAAACCATTCTGTGATTTTGTGCTGGGGTTTTTTTTCCTCCAGTCTCATAAAGCAGATAGAAGTTACCTGGAAAAAAACTATTCTAAAAGCTCATTGTTTTCCATTAAGGGGTTATGTGGGTTAGGACAGAATAGAGATTTGCCAAGATAGTCATCAGAGAATCTTTCTTTTAAGGAAATCAGCATCAGAAAATGGTCCTTGGGAATATTTAGTAGAACCACTGTTGGCTTTTGAGTTTGGGTTTGTTGTTTTTTTTTTCAGCATAAAGTTAAACATTACACTATTTATTTGTTAAATTGTATTGCATCACAGTAATGTAAGCAGGTTTATAGAGGTTCAGATTTCTGAAAAGGCATGAAGTTAGTCTCTGTGGAAAATAACTGTTTAAGTGGAAAATATTGAAATGTATTGATTATAGTTTATATGTCCTAAACCTGTGGGTAGAAGATGCTACAGGAAGCATTCAGTAGCCTTTTTTTCCCCCTTTTTAAATAAAGGAGAGATTGTGCTAGAGTATAATAAATGAACTATTTCACCCTGACTTTGAAGAAGCTACAAGTCCACCTACAGACCTTGCCAAACTGTGAGGATTTGCTTTGCATTTGTAGTAGGTAGAGGTTTGGGCAGTAATTCTGATAATTTTGGAGAAATGGCAATTTCACATCATTTAACCTAAATCAGCAGAATGGGACAATACAGTTGTTTAATGCTGGGTAATCTATAAGATCCTTCAGGAAAGGTCTTGGTTCTACCACAGGAAATAGAATGCGCATCCAAAGGATGTGAATTTTCTTGTAAAAACACAGCTTGCTTAGGGGCAATGCTCTCCCAAATGGCAGAGATGGTAGATTTTAACCATGGGAACCTCCTGAGGATAGTCAACCCCTCATTACATCAGATGGCTGTGAAGCATTCTTGTTTTAGTTCTGTATTTTTTCCTTTTCACTGAGAAACAATCCCTACCAGAGAGGATAATGTGGTATGATCACAAGGTGTACAGGTCAAGCAGGTTTGGACTAGGCTTTCTGTGTGGTCAGTCAGTCAGGATGCATATTTAGCATGGCTGCTGGTTAGGAATTTTGTGTTTAGGTAAGGCTGGATGTCGGCACAGGGCTTGCTTCCAAACTGGAGTCATCAGGTAGAGCTAAGGGCAGGTTGGTACTTATGCTGAATTCATCTGCTGAGATTTGTCAGCCAGCAACTCTTGAAAGTTGACCGAGGAGAGCAACAGGACTATGTCAGACCAGTGCAGGAGGGAGGAGAGAGAACTGGAATAAGAACTGTTCCCAGAAGGCATTTCTTTTCTGTTATAACAGTCCTTGATTCTCCAGCATCCTCACTGTAGTACACATCTCCCATGGTTTTTACTTGCAAGCAGTTGTAAGCAGTTATGCATCTAACTGATCAGACTAAGTGCATACTCTGTTCTTGGACAGTCTCTTAAGCAGTAGCTGCACTACTAGCTCCTAAGCAGATGCAGAGTGGATTGATTTTCATGGTGGTGTTGTTTACAGCAACCCCTTATGTGGCCACTTACATATTGCCCTTTTTGGAACGGGGTTTCTGGGCTAATTAAGCCTTTGTCTTAACCCTGAGCAGCCGTTCTTATGCAAGGTGGACTTGCAGAAATTACTTCTCAAAAAGGAGAAAGGAGACATGCACACTGCAAAATCACTTGTTTCTTACGCATTCGCATGAATTTGCACCAGTGTAACTGATAGAGTGCAGGGGCAGGAATTGGGTTATGGAGCAGAGAATGGAAGGGCTGCAGAACCTGCTGTTACTGCTGAAAGACATGCTTATGAAACTGTGCTTTGAATCTGTAGGCTTGATTGGAGTTTGTCTCCCTGAGTTTTGCCTCATGCTAGCACTGATAATTCAAAAGGGGCAAAAGACATAAATACTTTGCCAATATCCCCGGTGCAAAAAGCAAAGATTGAGGGTTTTTGTTGTGTCCAAAGCCTCGCATCTTCCTAAAAAGCATTGAGTTCTTCAATGAGATGATGTGGTTCTCAGTTCTGTAGTGTCCCTGTAGTTTGAACTACCTTAAAATGGTACTACAATCCTTTAAAAGCAGTGTTTCATGTGCCGTTGGCTTGAGGGATGCGTGGGAGTCTGTTGTTCGAATTTCCATTGAAGTATGCTGGACTAACCAGTCTCTGTCAAAGATGAGGCAGACTGGTAGGAACTGTTTCTTTATTCTTGCTATTACACCACGAGCACAAGCTGTAGATGTTCATGATTGAACATCTTCATCAGAATGACTTATTTCAGAAATTGGTAGCTTAGCAGTTGTCAAGAGGAGGGAAAACCTTCAGTCTCCTGTTTTCATGTGATGATGATACGCATAAACTGAAGCACAAGCATCAGTGCTGGAGCTTGTCTTAAGATACAGCAATATGATAGGTGGAAAGATGGCTTCTGTTAAAAAGGTTTTTTGTTGTTTTCCTTTCTGATCTGCCCTGAGTGTAAAGCATCTACATGGTTGCCTCACAGAAGGCTTGTTACCGAGAGTTACTTAATTCTGTAGAATTAGCGTATTCTGTTAATTTGGGAATGAAGAAGACTAAATAGTTCTTACTTTGTGCCTGGGAATATTTCTAAGAACAAAGGCTTGACAATCCCTGAAGATGTATGCTGGGTAATGAAGCTTCTGCTTTTGTATTTATGTGGCTACTGCAGGTGGGGATCCTCTTGCAGCCTTTCTAAAAGGTAGAGTCAGTTCTTTCCTCCTGTTGCTTTTGCCCTTAAAGCGGATGGTGCAGACATTTGCCATGATGGATGATGAGTGGATGTCGTGCTCAGGAAAGTAAGGTGAAAGTAAAGGGTGAAGGGATTTTATCCATTTTTCTTTCTTTCTTTTGTAATAGTTGAGCTAGCTGTTTTGGTTTCTTTTCTCAAGGACCACATGAATAAACCTGAACAATATGAGGTTGAGTTGCACCTGTAAAAATGGATGCATTTTGTTAGCTTCCTCCTGTTCCGCACAAAGCCGTGAGCAGCAGAAGTACTGGAAGAACCTGCTGCGTAGGCTTATGCTAACCGTATGTTAACTTTGCTTCAAAAAAATTAAACCCTACCTCCTGCAGAACTTGATTTGCCATTGAGAAGAGCTTTCCACTTGCTGGGATTGAAGGGGAATTTTTCAGTCCCTGCAATTGTGCAAGGAGATGGCTATTGTTACTGGCTCAAAGACTGTAGAAAGAACTTTAATTTCCCTGCTCTGTTTGATACCTCTGCAACTCCAAACTGTTTTTCAATGCAAATATTCAGCTGACTGTCCACTGTTGCTGCTTTTAGGTTTTTTCATTTTACTTTCTCTTCCTCTATCCTCACGTTTCCTCTACATTGAGTGTTTGAAATTATTTTTTTCATGAGACATTTTTGTTTCCAAACTGATTTTATTTTCTGTCTAGGTCATTTATGTATTTGTCTTCACTAATGTTTGCAACATCTCCATAGTATCCTCTGTGAATTTAACTAACATGCTGTTTACCCTTTCTTCCAGATCCAGTTTCTGATCCTACTTCCACATTTGGGAGTATGCAAGGGACAAACACATCTCTTTGCGTAGCTTGACTGGATATCCCAAGACTAGGATGTTAGTATATTTAAACAATTTATTTTTGCATTAAAATGTTGCCACTATATTAATTGCACATAGATTATTATTACTATTTTTGAAAATGTAATTTGCTTTATTGGCATTATGCATATTCAGAAGCCTGCTGTTAGAAACACTTTTTCTGCAGTCTGACTAATGCTTATTGGTGACTTTAAAATGGGTGCAGGAGTAGGAAGCATTTGAGTGTTGGTTTTAAAGGAGCCGGGCTTATTTAGTGTTACAGCTTTAGCACTCATTCTTGAAAATCTTGGCTCTTTGTCTAATGCGATTAACTGTAGGTTAATCCAAAAACATATAAAATCTTTAGACCCGTGGTCAACATATTTATGAAAGACCACTTCAGACTTCTGAATGCATGAATACAGGCGCTAGGAGAGATTTTTAAATACTTGAAATAGTCAAATATCTACAGAAATACTTTCATCAAATAATGATAAACTAGAATTGCACGCTGAAGTTTTTTGAATCCCTGCATCACAGGTTGCATTATTCTGGTATTTGTAAGAAACCAGTTGTCTGGAAAAGTAAACCCTGAGCTAAACTACTTTTGCAGAGTTTATAATGCAGCTTCCTTTAAAATGTGTTTTGTGATGGTGCAGTTATTGCAAAATGAGCTAGTGCATGTTTTCTGTTATGTAAGCAATTGTCTGGCAGTAATCAGCAGTTCAAAATGCAGAAGACAGCATTAAACTAATGTGCTATTTTTAAAACTGTATTTTTGTCTCAGCCACCTCTTGGAGTGTCTCATGTATTCAACTACTACTATATCTAATTGAACAAACTACTGAAACACTACTACAAGCAACTATTTAAATTACTGAAGTGGATTTGATGCTGAATGCAGTGTTCATTGAGTAGCTGTAGACTTTGCAGGTTCCTCTGCAGCCCTGTGCGGTGCACTTACGTTCTTTACCTCTTGTAAATGGAGTCTTCGTGTGGTTTGAATTTCTTTTGTTAAAACTGTTGCCTGTCTTCTTGGCTACCATTTTGAAGGAATTGGATTTTCATTTATATTGTCTAGCTCTGTACATGGGTAGTAAATTTAGGTAAGATTTCAGATTTTCAACTTAGCTACTTTGCTAGATGCTCTCAGAAGAACCAGGAACCAGTGCCAGGGAAGTGCAGCACTTGTTCTGGTGTTCCACTGTGTCTTATTTTTGTGGTCCATTACTTCACTCACCCCTTCAGTGTTATTCCTGTGGTTTTACAGAAAAGTGAGTTTGGTATGGTTGCTTACAAGCTTTTCAAGGGAATTGAAGACTCATTGAATACTATTGTTTATTTTATCAAGTTTGCTGAAGCACAAGGTATTCTAGAAGTCAAATATTCCTTGAGCCTGGAAATGTTTCTAGTGTCAACAAACCACTTTCTTAAAAATGTTGCCTATATTTGATATAACCTTCAGAGGATTTAAGGCATAAAATGGTGGGGTAATGAGGAGCAAGGCACTTACATGAAATTGTTACTTGTGCTTCCTGCACAGGCTGTCTTCAGCAATTTATTGTTCATTCTTTGTGATACTTTGTTCATTACATGTGCATGATACTCTTTTTCTTTCAGAGAAACTTGTGTATGAAGAATTCTGTAGGGAAAAGCCGCCCTTAAGAGAAGATACTTACTAAGTGTCATAGACACAGCCGATTTTGTAACTTTGAATATCTGTTAGTGCTACTCTAGACTTCTAAACCCTTAGGATCGGATGATTAACATGTAGCCTGCAGAAGCACAGTTTGTATCAAATTCCTTCACTGGTTATATGGCTGCGCTTCTGGCAGCTCCTAGCCCTGGATTAGGCAATCCGTTTCTCAGATTTTGCCCTGGAAGGAATGTTCAGAAGCCACAAAAAGGGCTGCTTTGGGTACAGGTGGACAGCGACTCTTATCTTAAAAGCTGAAGCTTTTCTAGCAAACTGTCACTCAAAACTGTGAAGTTTTTTTTTTGTTGTTTCTTCATATAGAGGTTGTCTGTCTCCAGTGAATTTAGCAGTACAACATAATGTGCAATGCCAAGCTTGAGGAGCTTTGTGTATAGATTACCTGGAAAATTTCACTCTGATTTTGAACACAGACCCTGTAGTAGTCAGTTTAGAAGGCTGAGTGTTCTCCCAGTGTTTCTTTACTTAGCACCAAAGAAATGCTTTTAGATCTGCTGAGCATCCTAAACAGGGATTAATTCTTTGAACACATCTGAGGCAGTAACAGGTCTGCCAAGACCTTTTCACTGAGATACCACCTATAAAATTGAAGCAAGGGTGGTTGTTCTAGAAGCCTGATCTCCACACATTTTATCTTTAACAATTTGATATTCTTGACTAGAAACCCAAATTTGATTAACTGTGAGCAATAGTCTGAAATTCTGCTGTAATTCAATCTCATTGAGCAACTTAGTGTGCAAAAAGCATGGGACTGTTGTCTTCTTTCAAATTCAGATCACACATGCTGTTTTCAAGCAAAGAACTTCAACTAGGCTGAAAACAAAAGTTGTGTGGGAATAGGGTGGCCTCAACCAAAATACAGTGGATTAAATGTTTGACTTCTTTAGTTATGCAAGGCTGGTAACATGCTGTGCTTCAGGAAGTGTTCAAGGCCAGGCTGGATGGGACTTTGAGCAACATGATCTAGTGGAAGGTGTCCTGCCTGTGGCAGGGAGGTTGGAACTAGATGATCTCTAAGGTCTCTTCCAACCCACAGTGATTTTGTGAATTATAAAAGGTCTGGAGTAAATGAGACAGAAGACTGGGCTTCTGCAGTCAGAAAGTTGCACAGACCTGCTTGGCTTGAGGAAGACTTAAACTTACTTCGGTAAGTGCAAAGTCAACGGTTAAACGTACTGTAGACACCAAATTCATTGTAGCTACCCAGAAAAGATACTTGGGCATAACTTTGAAATCCTGAATGGCCATCATAAAAGTTGTGTTCACTGTCACATTACGTTTGCATCAACCGAATCCCAAAGGGTTTTCTTCTGACTATGATTTTCAGCTCTGATCCAGTACGTACTTCAGATGTCTGTCTCAAATCTGAATAAGAGAAAGGCAATCCGAGAGAGGGAATGAGAAATTCGAACAGGTCTTGATTTCAGCAGTGTTGCTGTCTAAGCTGTCCCTGGTCCTGCCATTTGTTCCTGGCCTAAGCCAGGAAATTGTTCTTGTCTAGAAATAAGGCAAGCAAAATGGGTTATTTTTCTCATAGTCTTCTGCCTGTGCCTGAACAGGTGCTGGTGTATTGCCAGTGAAAATGGAAAAGTGTGACTAGAAAAGCCTGGTGTTAAGCAGCCTTTCTTCTGTCCCATGTTACTGCCAAGGAGGAAAAAGAAAAGTTCAGCGTAACTACAGTTGTAGTTGGACACAAAATACCCTAAGAAAGTATGTGCTTCTCCTGGGAAGCTCATCTGCAGGCATAGCTTATGGAATTGATGGTGCATATCTGAAGCTGAAAGGTTAGTGAGATTCAGAAAGCTGCTACATGAAATGATGGCAAACATTGCATAACATTGGAAGTGAGAGATTTATCAGTCTCTTGCTCTTTGGGAAAAGTTTCCACTAAACCCCAAAAGCCAAGCTGTCTTAAAGCTGCTCAGTGTAAGTTTCTTGCATCTGTGTGTAGTTTTTAAAGAATGTTCACTGCTCCTATTGTACACTGAGTAATGAATGCTCCATCATGTTTGGCAATTTCAGTTCCCACAACTTACTTCAGCACCAAGCTGTTTTGCTGCTGTAATCTTTTGTTACAGTGTCATCAGCAGCTGTGCTTATGCTTCTGTTTCCAGAGAAATATCAGGGCTTGCAGCCTTAGTGCACAGGCATAACTCGAGGTGTGAATGAAGGGCAGGTATTTCAGTTACTATTTAGTTCTGTTGGCACAAGGGTAGCAATAGTAACACAGCTGTATCTTCTGTGATGTTGTCATGTGCTGCCTTTGTACCATTGTGGTCTTGATACTATTGTTGTGTAAAGGGCAATAAAGCTGGAGGGGCTGTGAGGCTTAGGTGTTTTCCCTTTGAGTTTGCATCTTGTGTTGTAGGCTCACGAATGCCTCACTTGAGGTATACCTTCAAATGTGATTTCAGTGGTGAAAATTAGTCCTTGTAATCTGCTCTGTAGCTAGTATGAATTCTGTGCTCACAGAATCCACATCTTTCAGTGTTAAGATACTTCTCTCTGTGCTGATCTGCTTGTTTGGGGGATTTTTGTTTAAGGTGGATATCTTTTCCCTGCTGCCTTGCTTTCTGTTAATCCTTTCACTTTGTGTAGCTGCCTGTATCACCTGCTGATTTCACTTAGATCATCCTTTCTGTTGACAGAACTGAACAGTCCATCTGAAAAGACTGAAGGGTACTTTTTTAGAGTTTGAGAAGTCTTCTCAAAACATCAGGCATGCCTCATATTCACTGTAGTCATGATTCAGCCTTCTTCGCATGATCTAGATTCTTCTTTTCTGTTAGCTGCTTAATCAGAATTTAGATACACTCACTGATGTTTTAGTGAGATAATCACTTGACTTGTTAAGTGGTGCATCTTTACACATTGTAAGACTTTTCAGGATGCTGTTAGCTAGCTGGAGTCAGAAGGCAGACTCTTCATGGGGGCAGTAATGTAATGGCTTATGATGGAGATTTATTTAACATCAGACTTTTACAATCACAAATCACAGAGTAAAAAGGTTCTTCGCACTTTGTACCTTACAGGTAAGCTCAGTATATTCACCTCTCAACTAAGAAATTTTCAATAAACTCTCACAGGTCTATGCTATTTGTTGAAGATCATCAGCTTTTCAATAATGGGTGATACAACTATGTTTAGTTTCCTAAGTAGAATAACATTATCATTCCCCTTTGCAGATTCCTATATAAATTTGACAATCTCTGTAGAGATGGTGAAAGGCATGTTTATAACTTGAGATCGAAAAAGAAGAGAATAACTATTAATTCAGTAATGAATGATGATATCACTGACCTGCTGTGATAAAGGGGGTGAA